ATTCGTTTATTTTTATGAGTATGGGTATTTTGCCTGCACATATGTCTGTGCGCCATATGCATGCCTGGGGCCTCAGGAGGTTGCAGTTGCAAACAGTTCCGAGCTGTCATGTGGGTGCTGGGAATCAAACGTAGGTCCTCTGGAAGAGGAGCTGGTGCTCTTATCCCCTGAGCCATCTCTCCGGCCCCCTGCACCTTTTAACCAGCTCTTCAATCTGGGCCCTCAGCCTGTGGGATGGTAGTACCCACGCTTAGGGCAGGCCATCCTTTCTCTGTTGAGCCTCTTTGGAAGCATGCTCACAGACACATCCAGAGGTGTGTCTCCTAGGTGATTCTAAGTCCCATCAAGTTGAAAATCGAGACTGAGCATCACTGATACCAGAAACGTTGATTGGCATACTAATAAGCTTGATTTGCATGCACCAAGCTATGCATCACATCTACCTAGCAGGAAATTCACATTTTAATTTTCCAACATATTAAGAGACAAACATGTACCAGGACACATGAATTTATGAATAAATGTAACATGGATTAGCATGATGTAGACCTTTGTGATCAGGGACCTAAAATTCAAAAAGACTGGTAAGGGTTCAGCCAGGAAAGTGCTTCCCAGGTCAACACGAAGATCTGAGCATCCACGTAAAATACCGGGCATGGTGATGCAACCCGTAATCCCCGCACTGGGGAGACAGAGATGGAAAGATGTTCCAGGTTTACTGGCCAATGAGTCTAGGTGAATTGGTGAGCTCTGGGGTCAGGGCGAGACCCAGTCTCAAAAAATAAGGTGGAGAGTGATAGAGAAATGCATCTGAGGCATCAACCTCTGGCCTCCACACTTGAACATGCGTGTGCACACACACAAACACTCGTGCATGCATGTATACTCACACTCATATGTACACACACGGGTATTCCACAGACAGACATACACACACACCACAAGACTGGCAAAAAGCTGGCTTTCTACCAGCCAGGCAAGACGAATCCTTGCCTGTGATATTGAACGAGATGGAATTTACAGGATTATCTATTTTGTTTTAATTGGGCCAGACAATTACTAATTTTATCTGGGGAGAGGTAGGAAGGGAGTCATGCTGAAATCTTGCTTTCTGGTGGTTTCTAACGTGAAGATGCTCTCTGGCTTAGTTGTCGGGGACAGCACTGCATTTTTTTCCTCAGCGAGAAGTCCTGGCACAGGGTATGGAGGATGGTCCGTTCAAGCCGGTTATCGCAGAATAATTCTATCTTGCTTCCCTAAAAACAGCATCTCACTCTCTGTAGCATGCCCAGCTGTGCCGGAGATGCTTGGGGGGGGGGCAGGGTTTGGGCAGCAGCACCCCTCCCTCCCGCCCAGCTCCGGGGAGAGTGTTTGAAAATTGGATTCATTTTTGTGCTAATGGTTGAAATGATGCCCTGGGAATGTTGAACATATTATAGTGATTGCCTTATCCTCCCGCAGATGTGGAAGTCTATTACTGAAAGAAAAAATACATGTTTTTAATTTCCTTCATTACCCGTCTGAGGGTTTCTTCCTTGTCTGGACAGTTTGTTTAAAAAGAAATTGTGCTGGGGTAATGATGAGAGATGTGCTGGGTGAGGTCAGTCAGTTTTAATGATCCAGAGGAGAGCTGGAGAGATAACACAAGAGAACCAAATTAACCCCTGTGGGAGCACCAGCCTCACGGCTGCTTCTACACCAGCCTCACGGCTGCTTCTACATCAGCCTCACGGCTGCTTCTACATCAGCCTCACGGCTGCTTCTACACCAGCCTCACGGCTGCTTCTACACCAGCCTCACGGCTGCTTCTACACCAGCCTCACGGCTGCTTCTACACCAGCCTCACGGCTGCTTCTACATCAGCCTCACGGCTGCTTCTACGCATCCCATTCTGGGGGCCCATGATGTAGAGAGGTACAGATTTTAAGATTGTGGAGCCTAGCATGGTGACTCATGCCTGTAATTCCAGCCCTGGGCAGTCTAAGGCCGTGGGGGAAATCAAATGAGTTCAAGGCTAGCCTGGATTACATTAAGTAAGCTGTAGGCTAGCCTGAGGTACCAGTGTGAGAACCTTTCAAACAGCTAACAAAAGGTTGGTGAGATGGCCCAACAGGTAAAGACTCCTGTAAGACTGGCAGCCTGAACTGAGCCCCCAGGATCCACGTGAATGTGGAAGCAGAGACTCCATAGAGTTGCCCTGTGACTGTCACACCTGCAGCGTGGCGCACCTGCACCTCCACACACATGGATGAACAAACACACACACACAAGTAAATAAATAAATGAAATAAATGTGATCCCCAAAGATCACAGAATCTATAACTTCTTTAGAGTAATCGGGAAAAAATAGAAATCTTCACCGCAACCCTTCCCGTCCTTTGAATACTTTATGGAAGTTGCACAGAGCAGGCGGTAGCCTTAATTCACACTCAATATTCTTCCTCTTCCTCTTGGTCACTGAGCACTTTCTTCTGTACGAAGTTCTGGGTTTTGAGCAGGCTAACTGCAATCAAGGTTAAGATTTTTGTGACTTCATTAGGAGAGCTGAAGAGTATCTTGAGAAAATGCATTTCAAGCTGCATTTAGACAATGTTCTCGGGCTAGGCGTGCCTCAGCAGAGCTGGGATTCCTTGGGGGAAATGCTTTGGGATTAAAGCACGCTCCAACTTCCATCTGAGAGTGCATGCTTAGCCAAGACCATCCAAGAGCCCCCCAACGTTGATCGTGGTAAGTGTGGACACCCACAGACAAGACACAGCCATCTCCAGCCACACCCGGGACATCTCAACGGTCAGCCACAGAAAAATCTAGATCCACAGCTCTTCCGAAAATGTACCTCTCTCCCTTCTTAACATGTCGCCACTGTGTTGTTTTGATGGACACCTGTATTAGTTACCTTTCCACTGATGCAGTAAAAGATTCTACAAAAAGAGATTTTACTTTGGCTCCAGCCTGGAAGTCAGAAAGCATCTGATCACATTTCACGCACAAAAAGGAGAGTGGGAGAGGGGGAGAGGGGGAGAGAGGGAGAGAAGGGGAGGGAGAGACGGGGAGGGACCATTTGATCTCCAGTGAACAGTGTGACTTGAAGTGGGACCGAGCTGGAAGGAGTGGATCACTGGGGCTGGCTCTCGAGGTTTCTCAGCCTAGCCCCATGCCCTGCCTTCTCTCGGCTTCCTGACTACAGATGTCATGTGACCAGCCCCCACACGCCCCTGCCTCCATACTTTCTGCACCGTGATGAACTGTCTTCCTTCGAACTGTGAGCCCAAACAAGCCCCTCCCACTTCCTTCAGTTGCCTCTTGTGGGGAATTTGGCTACAGCAGTGAGAGAAGCAAGGAATACACACGTGGGTGGTGTCCAGGCAGGTACATAAGAGTACCGCTTGTCACAGCAGCGACCAATTAAGTGAAATTTTGAATCAGGCAGAAGAGTGATTAATCCAAAAGCTGCTTGTGCTTTTTCATCAGAAAATGTGATGTCTCAGGAATTCTGGGAACTGCTAACTAGTGAGGGTGAGTCAGTGCAGTACTTTATTCTGGGTGTTGTTCTGCACTTCTGTAAACACTCAGATTTGTCCTTTGAAATGTGGACAGGGTCAGAGAAAGTCCAGGGAGGGTGATGGGAAGTTTCGTTTGTGTTTCGAGAAGGTGTGATAGTCAGCTTTATTTTTACTTATTTAATATTTATTTTTATTTATGTGTCCATGTGTCTATGTGTGTGTCTCTGTGTATGTACCCACAGAAGAGGGTGTTTGATCCCCTGGAGATACAGAACTCCATCCATGGGTGCTGGGAACCGAACTCAAGTCTTCTGGAAGGGCAATGCACGCCTTTACCCACAGAGCCATCCGTCTAGCCCCTGATGCTCATCTTCAATTGTCAGTTTGATACAACCTAGAACTGAGGAAGAGAGTCTCAGCAAGGAATTGTCCCCTTGTATTGGCCTGTGGGCATGTCTGTAGGGGATGAACTTACTAAGTTAGTTGAGGTAGAAAGGACCCTGCCCATGGGGGTTCCAGAGCTGTGTAAAGAGAGGAAACATTGGGCTGAGCACATGCAAGTGAATTAGCATCATCCATTCGTTTCTCTCTGCTCTTGACGATGGGTGTGATGTGACCAGCTGCTTCAAGCGCCTGTTGCTATGACGTCATGTGGTGATGGACTGTAACCTGGAATTTTAAATGAAAATAAACCATTTCTCTGAGATGCAATTCTTATCAGGGTATTTTTTTATCGCAGTATCAGAAGCAAAACTAGGGTGGAGGGGAGTCTATCCCACGGCCTAGGCTGGTCTCAAATGCACGGTGTCAACTGACCTCCCTGCCGCATTCTCTTGAGCCACAGGCATGCACTGTAAGGCCTGGTGATGGGAGGTTTTGAGGGGATGGCAGCCTGGAGGTGCTGGAGGAGCCTGATTTCACAATCCCATGTGCTTAAAGGTAAACTTTGCCCGTCACCAGCTGTAGACTCTCAGGCGATTACTTTACAGACTTCTGAGTCTGTTTCCTCCTCCTCCTCCTCCTTTTAGGTTTTTCAAGATTTTCAAGACAGGGTTTCTCTGTGTAACAACCCTGGCTGTCCCAGAACTCACTTTGTACACCAGCCTGGCCTCGAACTCATAGAGATCTGCATGCCTCTGCCTCCCAAGTACTGGGATTAAAGGTGTGCGCCACCACGCCTGGCATCTGTTTCCTTCTTAACCAAAATATTGGCCAATATTTTTATTAGCTATATTATTTAGCAAAATGGGTCCATCAAGCCTTTAATCCCAGTACTTGGGAGGCAGAGGCAAGTGAATCTCTGGGTTCAAGGCCAGCCTGGTCTACAAAATGAGTTCCAAGACAGCCAGGGCTACACAGAGATACCCTGTCTTAAAAAAACAAGACAAAAAGGTGGCTCAGTCAATAATGTATTTTCTAAACAAGTGTGAGGACCTGGTTTCCATCTCCAGCACCCATATAAAAAATGGATGCAGCCAGGTGGTGGTGGCACACACCTTTAATCCCAGCACTTGGGAGGCAGAGCCAAGCAGATCTCTGTGATTTTGAGGCCAGCCTGGTCTACAGAGCGAGATCCAGGACAGGCACCAAAGCTACACAGAGAAACCCTGTCTCGAAAAACCAAACCAAACCAAACAAACAAACAAAATGGATGCAACAGCCCGTGCTTGGGAGCAGGGCAGAGACAGGAAGCTCACGGGGGTCTGCTGTCCAGGTTGTTGAATCAGTGAGAGACCCTGTCTCAAGGAATAGGATGGAGGATGATTGGGGATGACACCTGGGGTTAGCCTCTGGCTTCCATATGCACATCTATGCATGTGTACACACACGGACATGTATCCATACATACACACAGTTCGAAGTGTGTTATTACTTCTTGAGGATGCAGAGGATCTGATGTCCTTTTCTGTCCTCTGTAGGCACCAGGCTGTCATGAGATACCCAGACACACATTGCAGGCAACCCCCATGCATCATTGTTTTAAAGCGGTTGAAGACTGATAATATAGAGTATGCATGCATGCTGGAGCTATTTAAGAAGCCTGATGATGGTGATGAGGATGAGGAGGAGGAGGAGGAGGAGTTCTTGAATGTGTCCAACTTTCTGCAGACGACTGGTTTGGAAGAACTGAAGTCAGAGGTTACTGACTGACGCATTGCTGTGCAAGCAACTTCCCGGCCTTGCAGAGTCTGGAGGGGGGAATGCAGCTTCTGGAGAGCTCCACCTCCTGCTCTCCCCACTCCCGTGAGGAACGGGCTGGGTAGTCCTTCTTCCCTTGTGTCTTTTTGCTCCTGTCCCTGGAGCTGCTGTAGACGCAGAGTCAGGCTGACACACAGGCCGCTTGACTGGAAAGCTGTTGGCAGAGTGTTGATGTCCGGCTCTCGGCTTCTGTGGAAAACCAGCGTTCAAGTGTGCGGATGGGTTTGTAACTCACTCGACACGGAGCTGGGCTCTTCCGAGAGCTGCCTGACCCGGAGCCCCTGGACCCTGCTCTGTGAATCAAGTTTGCCTTGGTCGGTAAGATGCCCGTCTGTCCTCCACCCAGGAGCTTCCCACCAGGCGTCACTGGCTGCACTGCTTTGTGATATGTGCTTTTAAGTTACTCTCTCAATCCCGCTCGAAAGCTGGTCCATGCCCTGCTGGTTTGTGTATGTGCTGAAGCAGGGGAGAGATGATGCCTTGCCTGTTCTCAGTAGCTGCACCCCAGCCTCCCATCTGGAAAGTCCCACATCTGTCAGACCTCTGCCCCCTGCTGTGGGGATGCCTAGATGAAAGAGACAAGCCAGCTTCTCTGGTGAGGTGAGTGGGCGAAGGGCAGCCTGGGGACAGATAGAGCCAGAGGCGTGAGAAGGCAGGAGGTAGCCTGCCTGGGACCGGGTGTCAGGCAGGGGAAGGGAGGTTCTGGCCCACCGAAGTGAAATGGGTACAAAAGAGCAGGTGTTCCCCAAACTGAGCACCGCCCACTCTTGCGTCCTTCTCCGCCTCCTCAGTACCCACAGGCCTCTCTCAGGAGCCTCTAAAGCTGTATGCACAGACTGGTGTGTAGACGGTGGCTCTGTGTGTTACTAGGTCATAGGAAGGGCCTATGCCCCATGGGAAAAGGAGGAGAGATCTGAGATAGGAGGGCACCTGACCTGGTCCAGGGCCTGTGTTTGAAGGTGAAGGGCCGAAGAAGAGCTATTTCCAGAATTGTGAGTGACTACTAACTGTGCTCTCCGACCAATGCATGGTTTGTGCAGGCTGACCCTCTTTGTGGCACAGCCATGTGCCTTACTGAACCTGCTATTCCAATGTCAGCCCCTAAGAGCAGTGAGTTGAGTCAGACCCCTCATGGCAGTTGTCAAGGAGGGGCGAGGGAGATATTGTCCATAAAGAGAGATGCCTGGTATGTGTGTGTGGTGGGGGGTTTGAATGAGATAGCCCTATAGGCTCATTCATATATTGGAATGCTTGGTCTTCAGTTCATGGAACTGTTTGGGAAGGATTAAGAGGTGTGGCTTTGTTGAAGGAAGTGTGTCACCAGGGGGTGGGTTTTGAGGTTTCAAAAGCCCATGCTGTTCCCAGTTAGTTCTCTCTGCCTCGTGCTTACAAATCTAGATGTCGCCTTTAATCCCAGCACTCGGGAGGCAGAGCCAGGCGGATCTCTGTGAGTTCGAGGCCAGCCTGGACTACCAAGTGAGTTCCAGGAAAGGCGCAAAGCTACACAGAGAAACCCTGTCTCAAAAAAAAAAAAAAAAAAAAAATCTAAATGTAAGCGCCAGCACCATGCCTGCCTGCCACCATGCTTCCCGCCATGATGGTCATGAACTCTAACGCTGTGAAACTGTAAGCCCCCAAATGAAGCACTTTCTCTTATTTGTTGCCTTGGCCGCGATGTCTTATCACGGCAATAAAAAGGAACGAAGACACCTGAGAAGACAGGCTTTTCTTGCCCTTGCCCTTGACTTCATCCCTATTTAAGCTGTCAGGCTGCAGCAGTGGCCTAATCTCCAGGGAGAAGCCACGCCCACACTGTGAACCAGGCCACGCCCACACTGTGAACCAGGCCACGCCCACACTCCGAGCCACTCCGAGCAAGGGACAGGGTACAGGCTGAACCTTGGCTCTCCACGCCTTAGGTGCCCAGAGCAGCCTCCTTTGCGCTGATTGATAATGCTGGGTAATAAATCCTGCTCCCCCTGGAACCGTTTGAGTCAGAGCTTTCAGCAATTGAGTCAAAACTTCCTGGTGTGTGTTCTAAAGCGCTTGTGATGTGAACTGTCACGGAAATATAGAGTGAACATATGTCAGAGATCTTACTTAACTCGTCAAACAATCAGGGAACTGGTGAGAGTTAAGAACAGTGAGAGGGAGAACCCAGAACCAAGCACACACAGGGAAATAAAGAAGGCGACCAGAGAAGGTACCGGCTGGGGATGTAGCTCAGCCGGCAGAGTGATTGCCTAACATGCCCGAGGCCCTGGGTTCGATCCCCAGTACTTTATAAAACTGGGCAGAGTGGCACAAAACTCAGGAGATAGAGGCAAAGGGTTCAGATATTGAAAGTACATGCATAGCTGTATAGTGGGTTTGAGGCCAGCTTGGGCTAGGCGAGATTGTTTCAAGAAATAAATGAATAAATAAGCTTGATCTCCTTGTAACTTGTTTATCTTTTCACAGGGGAAGAGAGGAAGGGAATGAACTGTCCTTCGGCCTGGGAGGTTTCGTTTGCACATCTGTGGGCCAGGTCTGTTTGTACTGTTGGCATTGTGTATGCCCCGCAGAACTACAGAATGGCTTGAATGAAATGGCAGGCAGAGACTACACGGAATAAGAGGATTCTCGATTAGACAACGTCTGAGTTTCCTCAGAAGATGTCATCATTTGGGTCTGTCTGTGGTGACTGATTTTGATGGTCAGTTTGATGTAGAAGTGTCTAGGTCACATCTTTGGGTTTCATTGAGTTGGAGAGCTGGCTCCGGATACCATGGAGCCCACTGGAGAAATCCATGCTTCCTGTTCTGCTTGGTACCACTGTTGGGATGCAGGGAGGGCAGAGGTGGATGACCAGCTCTGTGAGAAGAGACCAAGGCAAGGGCACAGGAGGCGAGGGTGTGGTGTGCCCTGCCAAAGGGATCCTGGGGCAGAAGGAGGAGAGGACCCAGCAGGTCTTCAGGAATCAGAGCAGGCTGGACCTTTAGAGCCCCTGTCAGAGGCATTTCATGTTATCTTTAGGAAAGATGCTAAAGGTCGTGTGTGTGTGTGTGTGTGTGTGTGTGTGTGTGTGTGTGTGTGTGTGTGTGTGTGCGCGCGCACGCGCTCATGTGTGCAAGTTTACAGACGTGTGTATGCCAGAGGTCAGTCTTGCATGCCGTTCCTCGGGTGCCATTCACTTTGTTTTTGGAGACAGGGTCTTTCACTGGCCTGGAGACTGCCAAGTAGGTTCTGGTGGGTGAGCCTCCGAGATCTGCTTAAGCCTGCCTCCCTAGTGCTGGGATTACAAGCACATGCCACCATGCCCGGCTTTTTTTTTTTTTTTTTTTTTTAAATGGAGGTTTGAAGGCTCAAACACAGCAACTCATGCTTCTAAGGTGTGCTGGTTAGTTTTATCTCAACTTGACATAAGCCAGAGTCATCTGAGAGGAGGGAACCCCAAATGAGAAAATGTCTCCATATGATCCAGCTGTAGGAAAGCTTGTAGGGCATTTTGTTAATTAGAGATTGATTGCTTAATTAAAGATTGTTAAAACTGTATTGCTTCACATTGTGGGTGGTGCCATCCCTGGGCTGGTGGTCCTGGGTTCTATGAGAAAGCAGGCTGAGCAAGCCATGGGGAGCAAGCCAGTGAGCAGCACCCCTCCATGGCCTCTGCATCAGCTCCTGCCTCCAGGATCCTGCCCTGTTTGAGCTCCCGTCCTGATTTCCTTTGATGATGGACTAGTGTGGAAATGTAAGCCCAATGACACCCGCTGGTTGCTTTTGGTCATGGTGTTTCATCACAACAATAACAACCCGGATTGAGACACACGGTGAGGAAGCGATCCATCAACTGAGTATCTCCCCACCTACAAGTTGGAGTTGGGCATGGCAGTCCATGGGCATGTCTGGTGTATCTCTGCGTCAGAGATGGTATAGTGGCCAGTGCAACAGGAACATGTGGCTTTGTGTGACTGCAGAGGACAGGGAGGGGTTCCGCTGTGTGTGCTGCCTGCTGCGCCAGCCAGTCTGTAGGAAGCTGCAGGTGGAGCTGAGCTGTGTGCCCCCTGCCAGTATTGATTGCCTAATGAGGTGACAGATTGCATCCGCCACAGCTGTCTTGTCAACGAGGAAGCCAAGTCATTAAGGGTTGAAATGGTATGGCTTCACTGCCCCAAGCTGTGCTTGCTCCATGTAAATGGAGTGACAGTAAGAGGTCCTGTGGTGGCTTTCTAAGCAGCCTGTCACCTCCCATGGGGAGGGAGCTCTGTGGTCACCAAGACACACTGTACTGAAGATGTCCAAGATGACAAATGGACCATGCCTTCCTTCTTAATAACAGTCATCTATCTCTACTAGTGGCGGAGGAGCAGGCTGGGGCCATTCATCTGCCTGCTCAGCTGAAGACGGCTCCATCAGGGGAGCCGGGGACCCCCTGAGGTCAGGGTTGGTAGACAGCAGATCCCAGTGGGGTGGCTTCTCCGAGTGTCCTCAAACCCCCGCCCCCGAGATCTTTTCATTTCTGGTGGAATGTGATCAGCCAGTCACTTCTTGTGTGGCCTCCTAGGCTATGGGCTGTTGTTTTTATTTAGGGATTAAAATAGAGAGAGACTGTGGGCTGGTGAGATGGCTCAGCAGATAGAGGTGCTTGCTGCCAAACCTGAGAACCAGAGTTTGATCGCCGGGACCCACGTGGTGGAAGGAGAGAACTGACTCCCCCGTGCTGTCGTCCGACTTCCATGGGCATGTTGTGGCATGTGTGCATCCCACACATGCATACACACAGGCACGCACAAAACTATAATGAAAATATAACGTAATTGTTGGGGGATGTTGTCTTTAGGTATGACACAGTTCTGGCCGTCTTGACGTTAGAGGAGCTATGATTACCTGTGGAAGACCCTTGCAAGATCGGGCCCATTAATGGTCCCTGGTGGAAGGATTAGGGGAACGTCAGCAGGCGGCCTGAGATTCCAGTCACTTGCTCTCCCTGCCCACAACCCCACCTGCATCCATTTCTTCCCAGGCTGCCCATGGTTTGGCAGGGTGCTAGAGTATGTAGAAAGTAGAAGGCTAGGTAAAGTGGGGGTGCTCCATTTCTGCAGCTTCAGGGAGGTCACCATCCATGCTAGGGTGCAAGTTTTCGGTGATGAACCTGTTCAGGGTCACCCACGGTGGTGGTTTGAATGAAAATGTTCTCTATAGGCTCCTAGGGAACGGTGCAATTAAGAAGTGTGGCCTTGTTGGAGTAGAGGTGGTCTTGTTGAAGGAAGTGTGTCACTAGGGGCAGGCTTTGAGGTTTCAGGAGCTCAAACCAGGCCCAGTGTCTCTCTCTCTTCCTGCTGCTTGCCAATCTAGATGTAGAACTCTCATCTCCTTCTCCAGCACCATGTCTGCCTGCATGCCACCATGCTTCCTGCCATGATGATAATGGACTAAGCCTCTGAACTGTAAGCCAGCCCCCAACTAAATGTTTTCCTTTCTAAGAGTTGCCGTGGTCATGGTGTCTCTTCACAGCATCAGAGCACTAAGACATCCACAGTCCTATAAGTGAGCCCAACAAACCCATTCACCTACCCAGCTGGATCTGGGTAGAATATTTTATTTATTTATTTTTTTGCTCATTATCAGTGTCTAGGGTGATGTCTCCCCAGGAAAAGATAGTAATATTTATCATTGTAATCCCTCATGAGTATCAACTTCAGTGCCACTAAGGACATTCTCAGTGTCACATAACAGTCCTTCCTGCCTGGACCCGAGAATGCTCCACCATTTCCAACATTAACTCTACACTCATTCCACAGTAATTCCCCCAGCTGGGATCTGCCATTTTCCTTTCTGCCTTGACGGACTCCCCTGACTTCCCTATGTCATGTCCTTGGAAGCCCTTGGCATCTGTCAAGTACTTGCTTCACAAACAGTTGTAGTTCCAAGGTCCGTCATATATTAAAATTGTGTTCTTTTTTTCCCCCTAACGGTGTGATATTTCATGGCACATACATTCCACCAAGCTGGGTTTAGAGACACCAGGCAGCCACTGTTGGCTGTAACCTCAGGGCTGGTGGAAGCTGAGGTCTCTGGTACAGGAGCGTCTCTGGGTAGGAGGTTTCATTGCTCTCTGTCCACTTTGACCCCATCTCTGTCAGCCCAGGGGATGCCGAGAGACTGGCAGGACAAGGCTCTGGGCAAGACGAGGGGCAGGAAGCAAGAGCAAGCTGGCCCTGTGTTGGAGACGTGCCAGGCAAGACCCAAGATGCTGACGAGATTCAGATTCGGCAAAGGCTGCTGTTACTTTCAGAGGAGCACCTAAGTCTGTTGCCATGGGGACAGCGGAGCCGACAATGGTTCAGCTAATCAAGATCCCCAGCGACATGCAGGGCTGAGAATCACCACTGAGTGCTCGCTTCCCTCTGCGAACTTCAGCTTTTCGTGCTGAGTGACAGGTGACTGATCCTGGCGCTGGCCGCTTCAGTCGGGTCCAGGCAGTCACTCAACACTGACCCTGAGAAGGACCAAAGGCTCCTTGTCTTGACAAATGAGGGAACTGAGGCTCCGGGAGCAGTGGATGTGCTTGGTTGTTGGTTACTGATCCTTTCCCCCTGCCTTCTGGGTTCTTCCACCCTCAAAGAACGGCAGATACTATGTCTGAATTGAAAAGTCCCTGAGTGGGGTGTGGGAAGGGCCCCCACGATGAGGGGGCATAGTGAGACCGTGGTGTGTGTGTGTGTGTGTGCATGCATATAAAAGCTGGAGGTCAACTTTAGGTATTAATCCTCAGATGTTGTCCACGGTTACCTTGAGATCAGATCTCTCACTGGCTTGGGGTGCACATATTAGGCTGGACTAGCTGGCCAGTGAGCCCCTATCTCTACCTCCCCTGTGCAGGAATTGAAAGCGTGTGCCACCACGCCTGGCTTCTTTGCGTGGGTTCTGGGGCTTGAACTCGGGTCTTCGTGTTCACTGGATGCACATTTTATCAGTTGAGCTGTCGCCCCCAGTCCAGAGCTGCTCCTGTTTTCTTAGACACACCACTCATGCTACAGCCTTTCGAAGCATCTTCTGTCTGCGTGTGGCCATATCCAGAGGGGCGTGGAGGTCCTGCCTACGTGTATGTCAGGATAACACGGTGTTCTTTGGTTGGGCTGTGGATGCTGAACATGAGTTGGGGGTTCTTGAGAGGTGCATGGGCTGAATCTGTGAGTGTTTGGGGGTGAGGGAGACTAGGGGCCAGAGATAAAAGCAAGACCAAGGTTCTTGCCTCTCCCCAAAGCCCCAGTACCCACTAAGCAAGGAGACAGCCTTTTGTGGCCTCACAGGTGGGTCCCTGGGTGGAGGACACAGGAGGAAGAGAGACCACTTGCCATATCTCCAGCAGAGGACTCAAATTGTGGGTCTCAGGAGATGTAGACAGAGTGGCCACACTGTGGCTGTGGGCTGCAGACGTCAGACTGGTGAGGGGTATTTAGAGACAGGGTAGGACTCCCTGACCCCCGCAGACTAAACCCTGCCCTTGGACGCTGGGCTGAGCCAGCAGAACCATCTCCCTGGCCACCGACACCCATTCATTCTTAGGGCCACGTGGGGTTTTATCTGCACTGGCCCTGGTGGAGGGGGAGGGAGAGCTGGCCCCTGATCAGAGCAGGCAGGACAGCCATAAGCGTGAGCCCCTGCAAAGTCCAAAAAACACAAAGGGACCCGCCACATCTGTGCGTGGGTGACCAGTGCCTTTTCTGCTCTGCATCTCCTGTGTTCTTCCTGCTTGAGGAAAGTGAGGGGGGTGGGGTTGAAGAGCAGAGTGGCACTTGGCACCAGCAGTGCCACAAAACCAGACTCCACTGTCTCCGTCTTCTGTCACACTCATCCCTGAAACTGCCTCCGGGCTTTTGGTGCAATACCAAAAAAAAAAAAAAGCTTTACCTCCCCCCCCCCCCGTCCCATCCCCCCCCCCCCACAGCCCCTTCTGGACACAAACATGACTGTTCACTGATACACATTGTTACCACCCATTTCCAAACCTCAGGATGTTGCTGGCCGGGTGTACTGGCACTCGCTTTAATCTCAGCGCTCGGAAGGCAGAGGTAGCAGCTGTCAGTTCCAACTGTACACACAGAGAAACATCAGGTGAACTTGGGGCCCCGGGAGGACTGAACACAGACTTGTCAGGACTCAGGGTCCTGTGTTAGTGATGTATCTCTTAGCTGTGACCAAAGTGCCTGACCACGAGTGACTTAGAGAACAAAGGAATTGCTTTGGCTTGAAGTTTCAGGGGACACAGCTCATCTTAGCAGGGATGGTGTGGCAAGAGGTGCTGTAGGTGGTCACAATGTACTCATAGTCAGGAGAGAGAGAGAGCGAGAGAGAGAGAGAGACAGAGAGAGAGAGAGAAGCAGGCAGTGGCATGTGATGAAAAAACCCCAAGTCCCATACAGTGACCAGCTTCCTCCAGTGACTCCATCTCCTGAAAGTCACACCACTTTCTCAAACAGCGCCACCAGCTGGAGACCACATGTCCAAACACATGAGCCTGTGAGGGACATTTCACATTCAAACTACAACAC